TGACTGCCTCTTGATGGTTCGCACTGAGGCATCTGAAAATTCTTTTAAATTGGGCTTCCAGCCTGTTACAACAGTAGGAAGTCAGGACACACTTAAATATTAGCTTCGTATGTATCTTTTGCAGGTTTATGCTTATGGACTGCTTATGCCTTGGCTGAGACTAAAAATGTTAAAGGTAGGGAATACGACCACTTCACACTGTGTGAAGTTGGATAAGTACTTGAATATGTGAAACTCCCTTTGCTTTCTTATCTGCAGACTGAGAAAAATCACAGTAACACTTATCACAAGCATTTTGACTATAATTACTGTCTTGTGCTCTTGGATAAGGATTTATCTGTGCCTTAGTCTTCTCATCTGTCAGATGGGAGGATTCTAATGTATCTCTCTCCAAGTGTTGTTATCAATAATGTAAAACCTTGTGGCAGCATCTGGCATACAATAAATTGTACATGATATTTGCTTTAGACCTTTTCCCAGTACTCATGACATCCTAGCTGGCTAAAGGAAACAGCATATGTAGTGCTTAGGTCCCAGCAAGGCCACTTCTGCCATGTCAGAGTCTGAGATCTGCCTCATACTCCAGACTCACCCTGTGATTACAAATCAACCCTGGCCTTCCCAGGATGATGCATGAGGCCTGTTCCTGCTTCCAACTGCAACAGTTACCTTAGCCAAGTGTAATCTGATGAATATAAACTAAGAGTTCTGTCCTGGATTAACCTTCATTCTTGTCTGTAAAGGGCTTTGAGATCCACTCACAAAGGTGCAAAAAAAAAGAAAGAAAGAAAAAAATCTTACTTTTCTGGTCAGGAATTCAGTGGTGGAAGAAAGTGAGGCTGGAGAGGGTTACTGGCTCCTATCCTGAGGTCCATGGAGTTTCTGCAGAGGATTTAATACCCCCTGACAGGCAGGCTCTTGGGACTGGGCTGGGTTTGGGAATTAACTTGAATGCTAATTCTGTAAGTACCTGAAGTAGTCTGAGCCTCTAAGCAAGGACAGTTCTTTCTACTGCAAAAGTTTGTCTTGGCTTCTGCTCAGCACCAAGAAGCCCATTTCTGGGGTTCACCATCTGCAGCTTAGACCCCAGGAGGGGGGACACTGGACAAGATTCTCACCTACAGCGGCAGCACTGTCCCCTCCAGAACCTACTGCAGGCAGGCTCTTCCTCCATCTCTTGCCAGTAGACACATTTCATCTCAAAAACCTTCTCTTCCTTAGTCAGTCATATTGATGCAAAGAAGAGTGAACGTGTGATGTTACATCGTGCTAAGATGTTTCCACTTTAAATGCTGTTAAGGAAGCCCTAAGCTAAGGGAAACAAACTAGAGTCTCCCTGTGCAGTTTCCAACAGCTGCCAGAGTTTGGAGAGGCTTTTTGTCAGTGTGCAGTCCTCAGGACTGAAAGGTTCTTCCCAATAACTGTCTTGTCTCAGAATATATTCACTCAACCCAATGCTGTCCTGCCTGTGCTTCCGTGTAGGACATTAGGGATTGCCGCCACATGTTTCGTTGCATCACTGTTTTGGGGCTGTTTGTACAGCCATTTCCCAGAGATCATGAGCAACAGCAATCAAATGCCAGTGGCAACTGTTTCTATTAAAGCCTGTACATTAGAGTTCCCGTCTGCTTATTGCCAAAGCCATGTGTTCTGGGGTCAGTCTTGAAATGATGCCTAGACACGTTTGAATTTGGAGCTTCTGAATGCATACATGGTTTATACACTATAGGAATGGCACCATTCCAACCTGCCTGCTCTCCTTTTTAAGGTCCTGTTTGGCATAGAACATAAACATGTGGGTTGGTTTTCACATTGTGCTACCCAAAATCACCAATAAATCATGAGCATCTTTATGACATTTCTCAAAGGAAGTAGTTGCTGTGTGTGACTGGTAACTGGCTTTTTTTTTTAAGATTTAAACATCTGAGCTATTTAAATTCATCTTCAAAGTATGAAAAGCGAATTAAGTCATCAAAGCAAAAGCAGTTGAATCTGAAGAATGAGAAGTGTGGCGGCTCCGTGTGCCTGGGAGGTTGGAAGAAGTGTGACAGCTTTGTGTGCCTGGGAGGTTGGGAGAAACACCAAATCTGACTCAAACTCAGCCAAAATCTCCAGATAACACAGAGATTTAGAAAATTTTGAAATGCCCTCATACAGCTTTTGGGGTAGGTTGAATATACTCGCTGTGCAATGAAGTTAGCACAAACTGGCATGCTGTTTGCTGGGTAGAGCAGAGTGAGTGTGAGTCCAGGGTGTGGGACAGAGTGTGGCAAGCGTCTGGGTGTGCCTGTGAAACAGCTAAACTATTTTCTAAACTTTCTGTTTATGAGGATGGATTAGTTGGACAGCTATGATATAGCATGATTGTCAGCGTGTTTCATCCATGAGACCAATTTAAACGAGTGTATCAGCGGCACAATAAACCACATCTATGTCAAATCTCTGCTCAGAAGAAATCAGAGGTACTGTTAGTTTATGCCCCATGAAGGGAAAGTTCTGATTCTACTCTAAATGTACCTTTGCTTGTTTGCATAGCTGTTTCCTGTTTTCACTTATTAGGATATTGAGTGGAAATGGAAGTCTCTGTCCCATTCACGTTAGATTAGTTTGCTTTATAACAACCTTGAAGCAGATCTACTACGAGCACTTGAAAATTAGAGAGAGTCAGGCATGGAGGTATACCCCTATAATTACAGCATTCAGGAGACTGAAGTAGAGAATCGGCCATCTATTCAGCCTGGGAGTGGTGATGGTGTTTCTAGTCCATTGAGTTCTACTAGGGAAACCTGCAGGAGGAAAGAACATCGATGTGGAACAAAATTAATGGTGCTGTATTATGTAACAGCTACAACAGCTGTAAGCTGACATTTCTGTTTCTTTACAAATACTGTCTATGATCTGAGCATGGTGTTCCACACCTATAATTCTAGCACATGGGAGGTAAAGGCAGAAGGATCAGGAATTCAAAGCCTTTGCAGTGAGTTTGAGGCCCTGTCTCAAAACAAAACAAAATAGAACATAAAAAACAAATAACCCAAATATTTTTCTTTGAATATTCATTTATGTTTGGGTGGTCAAACTTTACCTGAACTCATTGGCTTAGCCTAGTACTGTTGTGTTGTTAATTCTATACTTTATATTATACCCAGAGTGTTAATTTCCTTCTTCTTGGTTGTGTTTGTTTCTCTACTTCCTATATCTTGGGGCTATGTTTGGCATGGGTGTATATGGATATCTTATTTGCACTCTCATGGAACATGAACATAAATGAAATCAAAGTCTGAAGAAATATAATCCTCTCAAGGCAACATATGAAAATGCTTTATTATTGCAAACAATGTACTGTAGTTTTCTCACAAATACAGCACTAGGGTATCAAAATTATCAAAGGCCTTTTCCTCCTGTTTGTGTCTGTAGAGCACTAAATGTACTTAACAAGAAAGAACTGCATCAAGTTTAGAACTGAGGAGTGAGGGCAGCACTCAGAGGAGGTGAGAAAGATGGATCATGTGACTTTGGAGCTTGAGCTAATGGTGATGTACGTTGTGCATCCAGTTACTAATCTTTAATCTTTGTACCAGGCACAGGGCCAGCAAGCACATGCAGCTAACCAGGATAAATGATTAAGGAGAATCATGTAAAAATTGCTGAACATAATTCACCAGAACAAAATACATGACTCTCTGGAGGCAACTACCCTTTTTTAAAAAGGATTTATTTCCTTTTATTTTGTGTTTATGAATGTTTTACCTATGTGTGTGTGTTTGTGTATCACATACTTGCCTGGTATCCACACAGGCCAGAAGAAGGCATTGGATCCCCTGTAATTAGAGTTACAGAGAGCTATGAAGCACCATGTAATGGCTGGGAGCTGAACTAGCTTCTCTGCAGGAGCAACCAATGCTCTTAACTGCTGAGCCATTTCTTCAGTTCTGAAGCCAACTATCTTGGTCAGCTGAGCTGCAATGGCAAGATCCAAACTGTGAGAAAGGACACAACACAAAATAAAAGAATCTTCTGGAAGATTTCTATAGATCACACTTGGGCCCACTGTGACTCTGGCATGACTGCCATTGAGAAGCCATCAGTGAGTAAAGTGTCTAAGCACATGGCATGCTTTACTGTTACAAGGAGGTTGAAGTCCAGCAGGTGCTCTCGTCCAATTTCCTAAGTGTGTGTGTTGGGGGGGGGGGTTGTCAAAGAGCCTGTCTCAATATGCCTTTACCCAAGTTTGAGGTTTTCTTTCTTTCTTTCTTTCTTTCTTTCTTTCTTTCTTTCTTTCTTTCTTTCTTTGTTTTTTTGTTTTGTTTTGTTTTGTTTTGTTGGGTTTTTTTTTTGTTGTTTTTTTGAGACAGGGTTTCTCTGTGGCTTTGGAGGCTGTCCTGGAACTAGCTCTTGTACACCAGGCTGGTCTCAAACTCACAGAGATCTGCCTGCCTCTGCCTCTGCCTCTGCCCCCGAGTGCTGGGATTAAAGGTATGCACCACTACTGCCCAGCTATTTTTTTTTTTTGCAGATTTTTTTATTTGAATTAGAAACAAGATTGTTTTACATGACAATCCCAGTTCCCTCTCCCTTCTGTTCTCCACTACCACCCCCCACCACCTAAAACCCTACCTATCACATATCCTTTCTGCTCTCCCTGGATGTTGACGCCTTCCATAGGTTTCATCAGAGTCTATCGTATCCTTTGGGATAGGGCCTAGGCCCATCCCCCTGTGTCTTGGCTCAGGGAGTATTCCTCTATGTGGAATGGGTTCCCAAAGTCCACACCTATGCTAGGGATAAGTACTGAACTACTATAGGAGGTCCCATAGTTTTCCGAGGTTTCCTCACTGAAACCCATGTTCCTGGGGTTTGGATCAGTCCCATGCTGGTATCCAGCTATCAGTCTGGGTAGAAGAGTTCCCCGATGTTCAGGTCAGCTGTTTCTGTGGGTTTCACCATCCTGGTCTGGACCCCTTTGCTCTTCACTTGTCCTTCTCTGCAACTGGATTCCAGGTCAGTTCAGTGATTAGTTGTGGGTGTTGCTTCTACTTCCACCAGCTGCTGGATGAGGGCTATCGGGTGGCATATAAGTCAGTTATCAATCCCGGTTGAGCTATTCTTTAAAACATGTTTCACAAGCCTCCAATTAATTGGATAAAATAATAATTACCCTTACAAAAAATAAATGGATAATTTCTGTAATATAAAAATATGATATTGGAAACCAATAAGGGAAAGATCATACTACAGGAAAATAGACAAAAGTTACAGACAGTTCAAGAAAAGGAACAACAACAAAAGAAAAAACTCAGGAAATAAATGTATGAAAATATACTCCACAATTTCAGAGTTTTAAAAGTCAAGTTCAAATGATGATGAGAGAGCAATTTTCACTTCCAACTTACCCAGATTCAAAAGAATAGAAAGAGAACTGAGAAATGACCTAGTAGGTAAAGGCATTGGCCACCAAGCCTGAAGGCCTGAGTTCAATCCCAGAAGCTACATGGTGGAAGGGGAGGCCTGCACCCTATCCTCCAACCTCCACACACCCACCATGGAACATCAACTCATCCACACAGCCCCACACACAAAGGAAACAAAGAAAAAAACAAGTCTTAAAAAGGCAAGAGAGTAGAAAGAAACCAGTCATATCAATACATGCTTGTGGTCCAAGCACTCAAAAGGTACAGGCAAAGGGGTCAGGAGTTTGAGGTCATCCCCAGCTACATAGTAGGTGTCTTAGAGAAAACAAAGGTAAAAACAAGATATCAAGGAGAAGAGAGCCCAGGTATGATTTTTAAAAAAGAGTTATTTTCATGTAGCATAGTACTAACTGATATGTTTTTGTAATCAATATCCATTAAAATTGATCACTATGTTGTACTTAGGCTGATGCAAGCTAGAAACAAGTACACAAAGATGAGTGTATATGGGCCTTGGTTGCCTCATGGATCCTAACAGTATACTGAAAGCAAACCATTAAAAGGCTGTGACAGAGTGTGCAGGCTTGCAGAAAGTGTTCCAAGATAAAGCAACAACTAAAAAGAGCAAATAAGACAGATAATACAGAAATAGTTTAAATTCTGTTACAGAAATGGGAAAAATCTAATGATGTATATACACTGAAATATGAGAATAAGCTATTTTGGGAAGATAGCATTTTGGAGTACTTCCATTTATATCCTATGCATTTCTTTAATATTGAATTATATATTAAAGTTAAAATGAAACAATGTTAAAAACAAACATATTAAGAAAATTATGTGGGTTTTTGTCAAAGATGTTAAATCTGAATCTAAATAGTCATATAAATCTATATACCTTAATATTGTCTAAGATAAAAAATATAGACTTCTAAAATTTATTATTGGGACTGGAGAGATGGCTAAGTGCTCTTAGCTAAGAGTGTTTACTGCTCTTATAGAGGCCTGGAGTTCAGTTTCTAACATCCCCATCATGTAGCTTACAACTGTCTGTAACTCTAGTTCTAGGGAATCTGATTTCTGGTCTCCACAGGCACTTGCTCTCACATGCACATACCCACATACAGATACACACAAACCTACACACAAAATAATACTAATACTAATACTAATACTAATAATAATAATAACACTTTTAAAAATTAAAAATTTGCTGGTCATGTTGACACATGCCTTTAATCCCAGAACCCAGGAAGGCAGATTTCTGAGAGTTGGAGGCCAGCCAGCTCTATAAAGTGACCAGGGCTATGTACAGAGTCCCTGTTTCAAAAAAAAAAAAAGATAAATAAATCTACCATTAAATATAAAAAAGTTTTGAGGATGCTGTTGTAGATTAAAAGCAACTAAATGAATTATGTGAACTTTGCTTAAATTCTCAGTGCAAAATCACAAAGAAACACTTTATAGAGGACTTTACTGGAGCACAACCGCATTGGTGAATGTGATAGGATATCCCATTCTAGGATGTATTCTAGGATGTAAAACTTGGGAAATATAGGAAATCCTCCTTTAACTGAACTGTTTTGCACCTCTCCAGGCACAGGTTTATGTTAGTTAACCTTGATAATTTACAGGAGAGGAAGGCTGTTTCCTATCAAGGTAGTGTTCTGATTCTAACGTTGCTTATTGAGGAATACAATGCATTCATTTCTAGAATAACTTATCTGGTTTATAGATTTCAAACTAGTGCCTAAAAGGTAATCAGGATTTATTTTTTAAAGCTTAGAAAGTTATAAGCTGGAGGGGATGTTAAAAATCCTATAGGATCAAACCCCATGACGTTACAGATGTGCAGAGGGACATGGATATGCTAGGTGACTTACATATAATTAACCTGAACTGCTTTGAGGATTCAGAATTCTTACCATAAGTCATTAAGATTTATTTAACCCTTGCTAAGCATCAAAAATGGACAAGACTTCCCCACTTACCCAAAGACAGTCACTTTCTGCACAGAAAAAAAAAAAAAAAGGCTTAACACTCAGGAGGAATTACATGATAATCCTCAAGGAACAAAAAGCCTCCAACTCCCAGCACTTGTAATCATGCAGGCAGTCTGCCCAGTGCAAGCAGAACTAAGATATGGCCTTTGCTTGACTTTTTTGTTACATAAGAAAACACTGGCAGTTAGAGCCAACATTTTTTTGGAGGGGAAAAAGGCAAAACAACTAACAAAAGAAATTTGTTAAGTCCTTTATTCATTTATAAACATTTCTAGCCTACCTGGTGGAATGATGGGGAAATGAATTAAATCCATCAATCAATGTGTTCATTATAAAATGTGTGTCTCTTGTCTGGGTTAAAGACTCCAGATTGACACAGCCCCATTTTAAATGATCCTCTGAGAATGGTCTGGTAGAGCCACTCTTCAGTCTTTTCCTGATGCTCTAAGTGGGTGTGCATCCTGTGCCTCTCAGAGCACCAACAGAATCCTCATTGCTCTGTCCTGGTTAGTTTTTCTGTTCATTTGAACGAGCTAGAGTCATTTGAGAAGAGGAACCTCAATTGAGAAAATGCCTCAACCAGAATGACTTGTGAGCAAGCCTGTGGGGGCATTTTTTTGCTTAATGATTGACATAGGAGGGCCCGGCCTACTGTGGGAGGTGCTACCCACATGCAGGTGGTCCTGACTTGTATATGGAAGCAGGCTGAGCAAATCATGGGGAACAAGCCAGTAAGCAGCACTCCTCCATGGTCTCTGCTTCAGTCCCTGCCTCCAGGTTCCTGCTCTGACTTTCTTCAGTGACAGACTATGATGCAGAAGTGTAGGCTGAAATAAGCCCTTTCCTCTCCACATTGCTTTTGGTCTTGATGCTTAATCACAGTAATAGAAACTCCAACTAAGACACTTTGTTTCCTTGTAATTAATTGAAAGGAGAGTTTTGCTTGTCAGGAAGAATTTGTCTCTGTTAATTGGAAATAGTATTAGACACTTGCAGGATCTCAGTCATGTAAGTATCTCTCCATACTGAGGCAGTAGAGGGAGAGAGTTGCGATCAAAATGACATGACAAACTGAATTCTAATTGGTTGGGGGTTCCCTGAGCGAGGTCACAGTGCTCAAATTTTGGGGAGGGTGTATAATGTTAACTCAGATACATTAATTCTTAAGTCTCAAGGGAATGAAATGCAGAAACTCAGTGCTAGTTTGACTCTGGTATGTCCTCCAAAGACCATTTGATGAAGGCTTGATCACCAACCTGGGGAACTATGGAACCTCTAGGAGATGGGACCTAAGGGAAAGAATTTAGGTTGTGCCCTTGAATGAGATACTGGGATCCTGGTCTCTCCTCTGTGTTCCAGCTATCAGGAGATGAGTAGCTATATTCCACTATGTGCCTCCACGTCATGCTGTCCTGTCTTACCATAGGCCTCAAAACAAGGGAGCCAGCTGACCATGAGTTGAAACCCCTATAACTGTGAGCTGAAATGAAATTGCCCACCTTTTAAGAATTTTATCTCAGGTAATTTTCAGCAACATAAACCTGACTAATACACTGTGCACTGGTTATGTTCCACACTGGCTGGCCAACAAGGTAGGGGAAGAGGGGTGAACCTCAAGAGTGCTCAGAGCCTTCTCAGAAAGGAAGGTAGAAAGTAGGGTCCAGCTTACAATGCCATTGTGTCTGACCCAAAAGTCAACCACGGTGACTCAAACTTAAACTACCGACCTTTGCCATCCAGTACTGTTCATATGCTTCACTTTGGTTATCACGAAGGACATTTCCTCAAAGAGTTTATAGTTTTGGAACCTTCAGAAACTCCAAAGTATATCCAGCTTTCTTCAGAACCAAAAGGCTAGAGCTTAGTTAAGTGTTCAGTGACCTGTTACAGATTGAAAGTGACTCATGGTTGGGGAAAGGGGTGGAGGCAGGAAGGGAGGGAGGAGATCTCTGAGGTGGGGGCATGCCGAAAAGGTACAGAAGTTTCAACACTCTCTCTCCAAACAGTGGAAACCAAGCCTTAAGGAGAAGAGGATTTGAAGAAATGGGGAAGCCATTTCACAAACTGTATGAACAAAGGTAGAAACTTATGGATGTCCCAGGTCAGCTTGGCAAACAGTAAATAGAGAAAACATAAATGATCGACAGTGTTTCCATTTTTCAGATTACTTGCTCAGACTGTATCCTGAGCAACAACAGTTTCCTGTGGTTTATAAATAGGCACTGGCTATTTTAGTAAACTGCTGTGCTGATGACCCTTTGTGCAGTGTTTCATGGAAACTTCAGATTTCCAGGAGGCAGAAGAAAATGTATAAATATATGAGAAATGATCCAGAACATGAAGGGCCACCAATAAAAGCCACTACAAAGTTTGTGCAGAAGCTCTGTCCTGACCAGGCGCTTACCTCTCCCACCCCTCCCCACTTTCTCCTGGTTACTTTGCAGAATAAGCTGGGAATAAGGAAGCTCAAGAGCTGAACTCATTTGCCTGAGCTCACAGAGAGGGGAGTTCAGGGTTGAAATTCATCTTTCAATTTCCTTCAGCCCACACTCAAACACAGAATTTCTATCTACAGCCATAACCAAAGAAATCAACAGAACTGCACAGAACTGAAATTCCCATGTTTTCTAAGATGGGGCTAAGCTGAGGATCCCTATTGCCTACACTTGAGAAACATTCTAAAGCATTTATACATATTAGCTGGTGTATGACAGAAAGGCGTTATTTCACCCAATACTTAAAGGGTCAAGTTAATATAGATATGTGTTTTGTTTGCAATTGGCACTGTGCTCAGACTTTCTGAACTCTTCTGTGTTCCAATCCATTCACCAACATTTGATTTGCTATCTATTGTCCATTATGGCCTGAGAAAGATTTTAAATGAATAGATATCTTTTATTTGTATGTCTCTTTTAGGTTCCTGCTTATGTAGATATAGAACAAAAAGGAACTGATGATATCCTACCTTCCATTCTTAAACAGTTGGGAAAAGAGGAGAGATCTAGGTGAATTAAAGTTGATAACAATAAAAACAGACAAAGTAGTACAAAAACCCTGCTAGGAAAACACTCACCAGCCAATCCTGTTACATGAAGAATCTCTGTCAAACATCCCCCAGACTGTGCAGGAATCCCTCAATGAGTGTTCTCAGAGTTTGGAGTTGTGCCAAAGACCTCTCTAAATAAGAATGGGTGTTAATAGCCCTATTCCCTTACAATTGGGTCAATCTGTGTTAAAATTAAACCACCACCAATAGTATTTTTGAACATTCCCATAGTCCTCCCAAATACCTGAAATTTCTAAATATACCCCTGTGGTTGAAACGAAAGCTCTGCTCAGTCTATCACATGTAACAATACCTTCCTTGATGAAAAACAAAGATTAAACTTACTTGTGGGCACCCAGGGCAAATATTTATAGATTACTGCCAGAGATTATGTTTGTTTAGTAAATTAATTGTTATAGATTCTCTTCCAATAACCATGATTTTACTACCACTGAAGTGTTAGCTAGGTTTCCAGTACCAGGAATGGTCTCTCTCTTGTTGAGCAGGTCTTAAATCCAATTAGAGAGCTGTTGGTTACCACCAGGACATGTGTGCCACTACTTCACCCTTAAAGTTATCAAACCGTGGTGGTAATTGCATCTTCTTTCTCAAAGCAGCTACACGGACATCTCTGTAGGCACTTCCATCTCTTCCATGATGTAAGTCTATTATAGACTCTTCAGGTAGCAGTATACACCCAGGTGACTAGAAGGAACAAGGTCTGAGGACAGAATACTCTGGTCAGAAATCCTTCATTGAACTGTTCATAAAAGCAAAACACTAAAACAACACACAGAAATAAATGTGTGGCATAGTATAGAACATTATGAAGCTATAAAAGGATAAAGGAGTAGACAGAAGCTCTCTACAATATCCTAAGGTAAAAAAAACCAAGGGGCAGAACAATCCTCACAGAATGCTACCTGCTGAATAAGAAGAGAAGTTTTAAGAAATACATTTGGTTCTATTTATTTATGCCTAAAGAAACACTAAATAAAAATAAAAATAAAAAAGAAACACTGGATTGATTCCCTGGAAGAGTGCTGCTTAACTAATTTACAAATGTGGTTTTAAAAACCCTTTTTAATGTGGCTTTAAATCTGGTTTCTTATATGAAATGGGGGGGGCGAAGTAACTGGAATTGGGGTTGGATGAAGTAAATAAAGGCACATATAATTTTTAAATTTCAATTTCTTTATTGTGTGTATATGATGTGTGGTGGTGGGTGACAGAGTGGAACTGCATACCATGGTGTATATGACAAGGCTAGAGGATAATTTGTGGAGTTAGTTCTCTCCTTGTAACTATATGCAGGTTCTGATGACTGAACTCAAGTTGTTGGACTTGCAAGCACTGAATCATCTTACCAGCCCAGGTAAGACGGCTCAATGTCAGCTGTCTGCCTCTATTGCTGTCCACTTTATTTTGGAGTGATAGGATTTCTCACTGAGCCTGGAGCTTGCCATTTCAGCAATATTAGCTAGCTAGTGAGTTCCTAGGATCTATCTGAATCCCCTACTATGAAACAATCTTTATACACTATAAATATGTATTGATCTCATTGTTTTTAAAAAATGCTGATTGGCCAATAGCTAGGCAGGGAGAGATTGGACAAAATGTGCTGACACAGAAAGAATGCTGGAAAGAGGAAGGGTGGAGTCTGGAATCACCAGCAGATGCACTGAGAAGCAAGATGGGCACTCCATACTGAGAAAGGTACCAAGCCATGTGACAAAGCATTGATAAGAAATAGGGGTTAATTTAGATGTGAGAGCTGGCTAGTAACCAGTCTGAGCTATTGGCCAAGTGTTTATAATTAATATTGAGTCTCTGTGTGGTTATTTGAGAGCAGCTGCCAGCACAGGAAAACTCTACCTAAAAATGGTGTTCCAACATGGGGCCAGAATTTCCACACAAGACCTGGCAAAGCTTTAAAGAGGATTCTAAACACACAAAAATGGAGTCAAGTGCAGCTTCTTGGTAACAGACTTTTCTTAGGTAGGCTCTGTTGGCTGGTGGCAAGCAGAGAGATGGCTTCCTAGCTCAGTGCTAGTGGCAAAAATGGGCAAGGCTCTTTAAAGAGGCTCTGCTGCCAAACACTTAAATGAGGTTTATGAGCAGCTACTCATATTCGAGGTGCACTACTCGGAGGCAGTGTGGACCAGAAAACTCCTCAGATTTGGGACGGTAAATGTGGCTCTTGCTCTGGTACCTGTATCATAAACCAAGTGGGGTGGAGCCTGCTGCCAAAGCAGAGGTTTTGGTCCTAACCATGTTGCTTAACAGTTTAAAGGGCCATCTGGTCAGAAAAAGATTACAGATACAAAATAAAGAGAGATTCAAATGGGAAAAAAAAACTCTCAATGGGTTACAGTGTGTTTAAATATATACATAGGCTTGGCAGAGAAAAGAGGAAGTATAGACAGTCATAAAAAAGAAATATATAGTTTTAAAATAATAAGATAAAGTCCTTAAAATAGAGTAAAATAATATAAAAGAAATAAGCTACATAAAGATGGAAATACACAGAGAGTCTGGATCCTATATATTATTGTGTTGTCTTTAGATTTTGTGGCTGCTAAGAGACACTGGATTATAAGAAGTACTAGATTAAACCAACCTATATATTTTAAAAATATCTTGACTTCAAAATTTAAGACAAAAGATGTTACTTTGGGGAAGAGGTTGTGCTTTTATTTCCACAAAAAAAAAAATGAGAAGCTGTGGATTTGTTCAAGGTTAAAGATGATCTGCTTCAATCAAGGAAGACCCCCTGAAATCCTGACAACAGACATAAAAAAAATAAAGCTAGAAAAACTACAAGACGCATAATACGAATTTTACCTGCTCAAACACATAACAAAAAAAAATCATTTTTGGTTGACTTATATACAATGTACTGCATTACTTGTAGTAATGCAGATATCTATGTTACCTTTAAAAGCTTATATGTTTTCATAACAAGGGAACCAGACACCAATGAAAATAGAAGGCCCAGCTAATCCAGCATCCCAAATGCCTCTGTTACAGTCTCCTCAGAATTGTGCATCCAGAACAGCTTCAAGGCTGCTGACTGAGATGATCCAGTCTCACAGAATACTCCAGCCAACATCTACAATTATCCTGATATTTCTCAAGGTTCCTTCAAAGATTACCAGCACCCCAAACAACAAGAAGTAGTCTAACCAAAAAATGGGTTATGAATGTGTATTATAATTTAAGAGGGGTTGGTTACAAGTTACCATTGATAATGCTCAGAAAAAGTGATAAACAAGAGAGGTTAGATTCAAGGATCTTTTCTGAAAAATAAGGGAATATAGAAATGATATGATAAAAGGGTAGATGATTGAATCTACTTTTAAACTAAAACAACCTACTAGTCTTAAATATTTTACATTGGCATGGATTTTGGTTTATTGATACAAACTTAAAGTTAACTTTGTTATAGTGTATTATGTTTCTACTCTTATTTAGGGTGTTGTGATTATACAGTTCATTTAAAAAAAAAACATAATGAGAGCTTTGGTTGGTGGCGCATGCCTTTAATCCCAGCACTCAGGAGGCAGAGGCAGGTGGATCTCTGAGAGTTCGAGGCCAGCCTTGTCTACCGAGTGAGTGCCAGGATAGGCAACAAAGCTACACAGAGAAACCCTGTCTTGAAAAACAAAACAAAACAAAACAAAAAACATAATGATAATTAAAAGTACAGATTAATAGTCATCTATAATAGTCAAACTTACAGTCATGTTAGGTATGTTTTCAAGGTCATACAGAGATACATTTTCAATAGACAAGTAGTCTTAAAACACTTCAAAGACCTACAGAATATGACATTAAATATGTTTAATAATATAAGGCTTTCTATGACAATGAGACATGTCTGCTGCTGGCAACACCAATATACTTCAGAAAAGATGATGGGCAAACTTCATATGAAGTTTGTTTTCTTTATGTCAAAAGCTAACCATTTGGGCAAAGAAACTGCCCTTGCCGAAACTGCTGACAGTATACTATCAAACTGGACACGTAGGACATAAAAGAAAGTGACTGCCAAACTTTGCCAAGACAAAGTAGAACAGTCCTTCAAAATTCCCTGCTTCTCAAAAATGTCTGTCAAATATACGAGATTTGTAGGCCAAAGTTGGATGCCCCAACATTACAGAAGAACTTAGGGAGACTGTCCACACAGCCAGATGTCTCTGCCATTAGGTAACATTTTGCCTTTCTGGGGTCTTTGATGGATCAAAGACTAAACAGCTAAACTTACAGTTTTCCTTAGTTTTGATAAAAGGTAGATTATGTATAAAACTTTAGACTCACAAAGATAAGGTAAAGTATTTTTCTCTAATTTTGCCAAATACAAATGGACTGGGTATTATAATTCTTACTTGACAATGATATACTATACTATATAGTATACTATAAAATATACTATTTTAATATATATATATATGTATGTATCTACTATGTTAAAGTTAAAACCTTCCTTTTTAATTAGACAAAAGGGGGAAATGCTGTGAAACAATCTTTATGCACTGTAAATATGTATTGTTCTCATTGTTAATAAAAAGCCGATTGGCCAATAGTTGGGCAGGAAGACAGCCTGACACAGAGATAATGCTGGAAGGGTGGAGTCTTGAATTACCAATAGAAGCAGAAAGAAGCAAGATGTTCTGAGATACAAAGCCACATGGCAAAGCATTGATAAGAAACAGGGGTTAATTAAATGTGAGAGTTAGCTAGTAACCAGTCTGAGCTATTGGCCAAGCATTTATAATTAATATTGAGTTTCTGTGTGGTTATTTGAGAGCAGCTGCCAGCACAGGAAAAAACTGCCTATAATCCCCCAGCCTCCATCCCTACCCTTATCTTCCAGTGCTGGGATTACAGGCACTCACTGTCATGCCTGGCTTCTACACAGATGTTGGGGATCCAAACTTAGGTCTTTGTATTTGTATGGCAGACACTTTACCTATGGAGCCATCACCGCAGTCCCCTGATTTGTGTGTGTTCTTGTGTGTACATGCATGTATGTGCACATATGCTATGGCATGTGTGTGTGTGTGTGTGTGTGTGTGTGTGTGTGTGTGTGTGTGTGTGTGTGTATGCCAACCTTGTGTGTTAGTCCTTGACTTCCTTTTACCTTGTTTGAAACAGAATCCCTCTGTTATTTGCTTCTAGGTAAGCCAGGCTAGCTGACCCAGGAGCCTCCAGGGATTCTCCAGTCTCTACTTCCTATCTCTGTAAAACACTGAGATTACAGATATCTGCTACTATACCTGATTTTACAAGTGTTCTGGGGGTTCAAACTCAAGTCCTCATGCTTGAATGGCAATGAGTATTGGTTATCTCCAAAGTCCCAAATGAAAGGATTGCCTATCCAAAGAAAAATCTACAATTAAAAGAGAAATCTCTGATTGTGGCAATGAACATTTTTAATAAAGTAGATGCTTGTTTTGATGGGTATTAGTGTGGGGTGGGACTGGAGAACTAAGGCATGATGAACTCATCTATCACTGAAGATTTGTACTAGGGTACAGATCCCTATAGCAGAGTTGTCCTAGGAAAGAGACATTCCTGGAGTCTGGATTCTTTGGTTCATACTACCTGACAATGGTGGTTTGGAAACCTGGGGCCACTGGGAGCAATATCTGCAGCCATATTCCTTCTGAGGATCAGAGAGAATGAAGTTCATGAGGACAGACCAGGTAGCCCAGCCAATGCACAAATCTCATAGCAAACAAATAAACTAAAAAGTGAATAGAACAAGCTTTGATTCCTCTCCTGGTAATGGGCAAAGCTGGTACTGCCTACCTACATCAATATCTAAGACCAATCAGGAAATGGCTTATGGATAACTCTCCAAGCCTTCCCACAGAATCTGCACCTCAGTTGCCGTTGTCTTCCCACCCAACGGAGGAAATTCCAAGGTTCTCTCAAATGTTGTAGGAAATTTGGAATATATATATATATATAGACACTTTACATAATATATATATATATTATGAAGTGCCTATTATAAAGTGCCTAGCAATTTGAGATCCAGTGTATGGATTATCTCTCGGCTTGTTCAGGTTCAAAGTCCTCTTTGGAGAGATCAGAAAAGTGCAAATGTCTCTGCAGCTGAGACAGGCCTGTGTTTACCCAGAACTCCTGCTTGGCCACTCCTGGGAAGGCCTCAGAAGAGCTCTTCAAAGCAGTCCTCATAAAAACAAACACCCCCACCCCACCTCCACCTCCTGGTCCCTTCAGAAAACAAACTACAGAACTGCTCTGTTCATTGAACACAAGGGGATTTTCTATTTAAAGTTTTTTTTCTTTTCTTTTCTTATTCCACATTGGCACCACTTACTAGGGAGCGGATGGCTTTCAAGTTGAGTTGTTTGAAACATAAGCACTTAAGAATCCAGGTGCCTAAAATTTCCCATCCATACAGCATTCATTTAAAAACCACATTTTTACACGTTTATTGAAGCTGTCGGTTGCAGGAAAAGGGTGTCTTTGACCACATTTTAAAATTATATGTATTTATATCAAAGGCTAATAAATAAAATGTCTCAGATCTTATTTCCTCTTTCAAACTTTTGAGGAGTGTATTGTCATCATTAATGTTTGTAATCCCAATACTCAGAAGGCTGGGATAGGAGGATCCCAAAGTCAAACAAGTTTGGGATACACAGAAAGACACTGTGTTTAAGGCAGAGTGAGAGGGGACTCAAGTTCATGCTTGGGGTAGCCTATCAGTAAAAGAAGGAATTCAGGTGAGAAATAGCCTGTAAACCATAAGAAACAACCCACAGGGTCTGGGTGGGAGTCCATTTATCGTCTGACAAGAGACATCACATGTATGCTGTGACCATGTATCTAAATTGACATTGGAAGATGTAGGGCAGAAATTAGGTCATCCCAATACAAGGGTATTTAGGGACAAAGCAGACAGAATTTAGAGTATCAGGCTAGAGGAGTGGCTCTCAACCTGTGGGCCATGACCTCTTTGGCGGTCGAATGACCCTTTCACAGGAGTTGCATATCAGATATCCTACGTATCAGATATTTACATTAGGATTCACAACAGTAGCAAAATTACAGTTATGAAGTAGCATTGAAAATAATTTTTTGGTTGGGGGTCACCACAACATGAGGAAGGCTGAGAACCACTGTTCTAGATAGAGGAACAATCCAACAAACTGCCTCTGACCTCTGCTGTCTGTAGAAAAAAAAAAATTTTTTTTTCTGATTCTCTTTGAGTTTCTACACTTTCTTTAATGAACTGGAGGCATGAGCCCTTTACATTGACCAGCAAACTGTGTCAAACTTGGGGAAGGCTGGATAGAGATTTATCTGGAAGCAATATCACTCTGTCCTTGCCAAGGTTTTATGTAGACTTCCCGAGAGTGACACTGCACTTCTGCTCACAGAGAAGCCTACTGACCCCCCCCACTCCGCCACCCACCCCCCACTACTGAGGCTGATGGAGATGTAGGAGAGACTAGAACTTGGACGTCTGACCTCTATATGGAATTATTATTTTGTAGCATATTCCAAATTTTAGTTGCTTTCTTCAGTTTTCCTAAGCCTGGGAAATTACTGAAAATCTCATTTGACAATGTTTACAACAGCGTTGTCCAAGAGAAAGGTACGGGCAAGTCACATACGTTATGTAAAATGTCCACTAGCTACATTTTTAAGCATAATATGGTAGAGTTAATCCTTAAAAATGGAACTTCTTTTAGTTTTTGTATCAGTTATGTCATTTCCGAACGTCTAAATGTTAAGAATTGAGGCCTGGTGAGATGGTTCAGCTAGAACTCTGTGAGTTCGAGGCCAGCTTGATATACACAGTGAGATCCAGGACAGCCAGGGCAACACAGAGAAACCCTGTCTGGAAAAAAAGGGGGGGGGGATAAAACAAACAAAAAATTTGAGATATTTTAGTTCTTTTTTTAACTAAGTCTTTGAAATCTAATATTACCGTTAAATAAGATTCAACTTTAAAACGTTTACTAATAGCAAACCAAAACTCAAATTTTAAATATAAAAAGTCACTTTTTCATTTTGTTTTGCTGCTCCAGCGGTCAAAGCCAGGACTTGTGAGTGTTAGGAAAATGCTCTGTAAGTGGTAAGTTTAAATTTTAATTCATTAAAGCTAAGTGGGATTGAAAGTCAAGTCCCTGTTACTCTAGCTTCACAGCCTTGTGTTACCAGGGCTGGAGTTCCGGTACATGGAACCTTCCCTTTTTTTATTCTCAACAGCTACTCCCTTAAGAGGACTGCAGGAAAACCTTGTAGTCAGTTTCATTCCTATAGTTAGAAACTCAGTGGTGGCGCACACCTTTAATCCCAGCACTCGGGAGGCAGAGGCAGGTGGATCTCTGTGAGTTCGAGGCCAGCCTGGTCTCCAGAGCGAATGCCAGGATAGGCTCCAAAGCTACACAGAGAAACCCTGTCTCCAAAAACAAAAATGAAGGAAAGAAAGAAAGAAAAGAAAGAAAGGAAGGAAGAAACTCAAAATCAGTCTTAACATTTCTATGTTATAATAATTAGAACCAGTTCTCTGGAAACATGCAGGTGGAACAGGTTAGCTCATATCTGGGAGATAAACTGTAATAAGTCCTTTCTCAAGAGGAGCATTCCAACAAATCTAAAGAGGCTGAAGAAGTCTTTCTGGCAGCTGGGGAATTATTGGACAATGATACAAAAAGAGGAATTTAAAATGATTTTACTTTTGAAATATATTTGAAATCTAAATGACATGCATAAACCAAAAATTACCATTTTTGTTTTAACATTTGTTTGTGTGTTTACAGGATTGGTACATCATTGTGTAGCTCATTCTGGACTTGAGCTCATTTTGTAGTCCAGGCTCTTGGCAATCCTCCTGCCTCAGTCTTCTGAGTACTGGGATCACAAGTGTGCACCACCACACCTGGGTGAAAGTGAATATTCAGCAGTATTTCATTTAATAAATAGGCTACAAAATCACCATCTTTATTTAGCTCAAAAATATTTTCATCACTCCGAAATAAAAACAATACCATATCTATTCTGTAGTATTTCAACTTTTTCCCCCTCTCTAATTCTTCTACTCCCTGTAGCCACCAATGTGCTTTCCATCTCCATATATTTATTTACCTAGTTTGAATATTTTGAATAAATGGGATAATGTAACATGTAACCAAGATTCTTTCACAGCATAGCACATGACATCAGTGATCCATTCCTTTATTATGGCTGAATAGCATGTGTGTGTGTGTGTGTGTGTGTGTGTGTGTGTGTGTGTGTGTCTCACATTTTGTTTATTCATTCCCTGATGGACATTTGAGGTTTTTTTTTTTTTTGTAACTCTTGGCTATCATGAATAACACCACTTATTTATAATATTAGGTACAAGTATATCCTTAAATACCTACTTTTAATTCTTTTGGGATTGCTGTCATGTAGTAAGTGTACATAACATTCTCACTTTCTCAGTAATATTTGTTTTTGTTTGTTGTTTAATTATGGTTATCCTAACGGGCATGAGACAATATCTATTTTGTTTTTAATTTTCATTTCCCTAATAGCTGATGAAGTTGAGCATATTTTCAGGAGCTTGTTGAACAGTTACGTATTATCGATGAAAGATATATCCAGGTGCTTTGCCCAATTTGAGTTGGGATTTTGTTATTTAAGAGTCCTACGTTTTGGATATTAGATTCTTGGTAAAGCCTTGCTAGTTGCTATTTATGATTACCATTCGTCATATTCAATTCAAATAAAGCCAGAAATCTTTAAAAGAAATGAGATTATTCTGATTGATTTATAAACTTCCTTTATGTTTATATTACCATATAATCAGGTTTCTTTCTCACTATAGAAGAAAATTCAGGAAAGGGTGATTTAAAAAAACAACAAAAAAACTGCTCACTGCTCTCTTTTAGAACACAGATTATACTCTTCTAGGTATATATTTAATAAATTACTTTATGTCAGCAATTGTATGTATGTCGGCACCAAAAAGTGTTCATTCATGGTGGTGGTTTGAACATATGTCTTTAGGGTATTTTTTCAATATAAAATTAAAATATTTTGAGACAGGGTCTCATGTAGCTCAGGCTGGCCTCAAACTTGCCAAGAAGCAGAGAATGAGTACCCTGTCCTCTTGCCTGAGACCTATGTGTTGGGAGTACAAGCTCCCACACCTGACTCTTCAAACTGTTTTAATGTTGAGGAAACTTCCCAGGCTTCATAGGAGTTAAAAAGAGGGCAAGTTTAAGAATAAATAAAAATTAAGAAAATTCATTCAGGTTTTAAAAAAATCTGTTCTGATTTTACAGTTTAAGGGTACGGTCAGTATAATAAAAATAGGTTCTACTTGGGCTACTATAACAAAGGAATAATTAGAGTATCATTCTTTACTAAACCAAATGGTTATAGTAGACAATCTTCTTGTTTACACAGATCTGGTTTCAAGTGTAGTCGCATGACTTGCTTTGGCATATAAAATGGGGAGAAAGAGACCAAGTGCCATTTGTTAGTTGCTGGCACCTAACCCTCTATCACAGGCTTCCCTTATGGTGGAGTGGAAGCACTCATTGACATGGAGGTACCCTAACATTAAAGTATCCCAGAATGCTGAACTGCTTGGCAGGGGACGCTGCTCTAGAAAGCCTCTTGGAACCAGAGTTGATGTCAAAAAGCAATAAATTAGCCTTTGTTGACTTAGGGATCTGTATGTTATGTTAAGATTTGAAAGTTTTGTGTTATTGCTTCATAACACAGTCTACAGCTACTAACACATGCTAATGGCATTTCCCTTCATATTTTAAATAGAAAGCAAAGTGACAATTTATATTTGCAAAGCTGGTGATTTTAAGTGTCTCCCATTCATGCTAGAGACCAAGCCTAGGTACAGAGCTAAATTACCAACCTCTGCAAAACTTTCATAATGAAATATTTCTAATGGGCATTGTGGCTCATGCCTGTAAGCCTGCACTCAAAAGGCTGATGTGGGTGTATTGCTGTGAGTCTGAAACCAGCCTTAGCAATAAAGTAAAATCCTGTTTCAAAAAGCAAAAACAAGCAAACTCCACATTGTTTCTTTGGAAGGCACAGCTATATACAATCATAGGGTTTGTTGTTGTTGTTAATGGAAAGTATTATGTTACAGATATGATAATGATAAATTCTAGATTCCTTCAATCAACTTCTATAAAACTACTTCTGAGATATTTGAGGATACTCTGAGTTGTCACCACCACTAACTGAAGTTTTAAATATTGTTTTCTAAATATTTGCCTTTTGCAGAGATGTCACCTCAAATAACATCTCCAATTTAGAACTGGTCTTTCCTGGGTAATCTTTATTTTCCATCAAAAGACAAGAGTTTGGAATGGTGAGGCAAGTGTTTATAGTGAGAGTCTGAATCTGTGCCTCTCACATCTTTTTTGGACTAATTACTGGTTGTGGAGGGGGGCACTCCTTTTTGAAGAAAAAAATAAGATTTTAGGGGGAGTGGAATGGGGACTAGGAGATGAGCCATCCTTCAAGAGAAGATGTGTTTAAGTACCTGTTATCTGTAATAAAGAAGGCACTTAGGTGTTGCCATTTCACAATTGCTTTGAAAGAATTTGAAGTGAGACATTTTCCAGTCTTGATGAAGTTTTCATTGGTGATCTATTAACAGTGTGGGTGGGGTGATGCCAGGGGCCCTGCCTCCCCCACCTGTGAAAGGTAAACAACTTCCATTTCTAGTGGATTTCCTTCATTACTCAGGAAGGGTAGCAGCTTCCATTTCTGTTTGATTCAGTTCTACAAGTACTTTCTAGTGCCTCTTAATATGAACAACAATTCAAAAGAACAAATAGACAAAGAATCCTATCCCTGAAAGAACTGACCTTCTGGCTGTGTTATCAACCTTCTGAGGAAAACGTTAAATTACTTGTCTTCCTCAACTTTTTGCATATAAATCAAAAGCAAACATTGGTATGAAATCCAAACTGATAGTAAAGCCCCAGAACTAACAATCACCTTCAGAGTGGTGTGACTATTGAATTTTGTTTTACTTTAACACTAAAATATACAGCCATCAGCCCGGGGTGCTTTTTAAGCCGGCGGGTAGATCTCTAGGGAACACTGCCTCGGGCTTTTTAAGTCAAGGACCCTTGAAAAGTCCACAGTGCTGTGTTGGGCATCTTACAGAACTGGGAGAAAGCCAGTTTCTCCAGACCCTGTTCTCCAAAGAGCATTTCTATTCGTAGTCAGGATGACTCACCATCCTTTTCCTCCCTTGAGAGCAGTTACAGGATTTCTGCACAGCCTGGGAGATGACAGGGTGGCCAGTGGGCTTGTTTGTGAGGGGCAGTGAACATAAATTCAAGAAAACGTCCAGTGTCAGAAAATGGAGGTGGGAGAACTCCAATCTTCACGCCATCTCAGGGGTCCTCCAAAGCAGCCGGCAGACCTCACTTCCAAAGACCCAGGACAGAGCACCTGACCTCAGGTTAAAGTTGAGCCTGTGATTGACCATGAGTCATGGGTTAGATAAACCACTTGTAGACTACTGCCAGCTACCCTTGGGGGAAAGGTGAAAAAGCATTCACCATGGAGGAATACATTAACCGCTTGAAGGAATACGCGTGACTGGCCCCAACGCCCAAAGCTTCGCTCGGAGAGGTCACTGTCACCCCTCTCCAAGCTGGACATCATCACCATCACTGAGCTGAAACCGCGCAAACGGTGCAACTCTTTCTCCATTACGTTCTAAAGGTGAACATCGCGGGCGAGAAGAGGCTGCGAGAAAATTAGCCTGTCTTTTTCCATGGCGGTAATCGAATTAGCCTCAAATTAAACGTGTAATTGGTCCTCGCCAGATACAGGGACAAAAGCCCCCATTGTCCTATGGCTCCCAGCGGTGGCGGCTGCAGCCTTACCCACCCGCCCAGGCCAGACCCTGTCGCAGGGAGCGCGGCCCAGGGCCGGGGAAGGGCCACAGCTCGGGGGAGCGTGCACGCGCTCGCCCAT